TACAACGAACCATTTGGGCAAGAACGGACCATTAAAATAATTCATGCGTTTATGTCAAAGTTTGACAGTGTCAAATCAACAAACAAACGTTTTAAACAAACCACTACACTCATTACTTTCAAGTGATTTTCCCCTCGTCTCAAATGGAACCGTTTATGAAATTCGACTCGATAACTGCTCTAATTATGGATTTTCTCTGCGTGTGTGCTCGACAGTTTGAAGCTTCGAAAATTGATCCTCACCCCGAGCACTGTGCGCGCCCATCTGTGTTGAACTGTTCGGCTGGCCCTTGAATTACATTCAATAGTTCACCAAAAGTCGTTTGTACATCATTTTCAGTCACCGTACAAATTGATTTCCATATGTGTGAACTGTGTGTGGAGATTGGGGACAAAGAACCACTGGGGATGAGCTTAAAATTGCTCAAGTGCAGACGATAACACCATTTCAATCATGTCATCAATTTGTCAACAACGCCGATGAGGTATTTTCTATCCGAAAAAATAATTATCATTGAGTAAGCCTATTTATTACATTTTTCTATTGAATATTCTTATCGATTGAAAAATCACACTCGACACATATCCCTGGTAGTCTAGGTGCTGGTAGTCGGCAGCTAATTTGTTCGCATGAAAAATCTGTGAATTTTTTCCGAAACTTTGCTGTCACTTCTTTTTTTCTTCCATACTTTTGTTCAAGTGGATCTCATTTTTTAGCTTGTCTTTGTCTCTATTCTGTTTCAATTGAATATGCTCCGAATGACAGTGAGTCTCTTTCATTGTGACGATCAGAATGGCCATTGTTTCGTACGTTTGCTTTTTGGTCCGATATCTTCCAGCAAACTTTAATAACCCACCGAAAGAAAACGAAAAATCTTCTTCATTTTCTCTCGCTCTCTACGCTTAAGAATTTCATTTCATATGCATTTCTTTCGTTCTTTTTTAAGCGTTTTCGTTTTTATTACATAGTTTTAGTTTTTTTTTCATTTGTCTCTAGCTTCTATTGCCATTCAGTTCGGTGATGATAGCAAGATAAATTGAAAAGGTTAGGAGCGTTTCGAATGTTTGAAAGAAAAAAGTAAATAACGAGACAAAAAGTACCAGAGTGACGATGATGTGATAAAGTAGAGAATCGACAACGGACGGCCGAGAAAGACTCGGGGAAAAACCCGAAATCGGTTGAAAGGCAAACAAAGAAGAAGGAATAGTCATAAACAGCAAACAATGTCGTCGGTTCAGGTAAATTGAATACCAGAAATGCTAGCGACGAAACATAGAATCTCGTTGTGTTTAACTATATGGCTCTCAGCGTTTTGGAATTTGTATTCTTCGGATGGTTTGTCGTCTCGCTGCTGAGTGAGCACACGGATATTTGCATGGGCCAAGGGAAATTAGTTTTATTTTGGAGTCAACTTCCCGTATGTGATTGTGTCATCGAGTGTGTCGAGTGTCGCAGAGGACCATTTCGTCTTCAATTAAATAGTTGCGATTGTTTATCTGTATGTGATGCATTTCCTTTGTCGGTGTACTCAGAAGCGGAAATTGTAATAAGAAAGGCGCTTGTGACCATTAATTTTGTCTTTGCTAGTCAAGCCAAACCAATTTTTAAGATCAATGATCTCTAATCTTAGATTAAAAAAAAAAAGATATCCCAAAGTCGTAAAGCTTCCGTTTTTTTTTCTTCTTCGGAACCAAATTCGCCATAAAATTAATCGAATCAACTCGTTTTGAAAGAATTCGTGTGATAGAAAGTATCGATAGATAATTTAATGATATGATATTTCACGCAAGAGTCCTCTCTTTCTCCTTGAGAATGGGCGATAGAAGCCAGTGACCTCTCTCTCTGTGTGTGTGTCTATGAATCACGCGAATTACTCAAACAAAAAATGTTGCTTTATTTCTTGTTCGCATTCCAGTTGTGATAAATCACGGTGTTTACGACATTAGTAATTACTTTATCCAATCTTCCATTTCAAACTATTCGCTTCATCATTCTAATACCCGCTAAAGAATTGGCTAAGGCATAGCTTCGGTTGACTGTTGAACCTGAAATGCTGCAAAGAAAAAGAAGAACTGTTTTGCCTGAAAATGAAATGTGTCATCCTCCTGTGTAGAGAGGAGAAATAAAAAGTCCAACAATGTTTTCTGTGTTTTTTTTTCTCTTTATTTTTTTTTTCTTTTAAAGTGATTACTTAAAGGTCAACATATGCATGCATATTGTTTGTTGTTGTTTTCTGATAGAAATATTTTTAGTAATAAAAAAAAAATTATAAGAATAAATGTAAATGTGTAAATTGTTAAATGCATAACACTATGTCTATCAAGTTGTTACAATTTGATGGTGTTGTTGTCTGTTCGATCGCTTTGTCGCGATTTCTTACACTTTCTACAGCAGACACTCCGAACAGAAATTGCATTCAATTGTAAATATTTTTTTCTGTCATTTTTCTTTCGATTTGAATGAATCTTTTACAATTTTTTTTTTCTTCTGTTTTTGGGATTTTTCTTCGAAAAATTTTTTTTCCTCCTTTTTTTCTTTGCATTTATAAAATAGAGTCACAGGTTTGTATACAGATTCCTTTTTTTTTCTCGTTATTCTTCCTATTTTCAAATTAAAGACGTCATTTCGTTAGTTCACTGTGTGTGTTTCTTTTTTCTTGACAAAAAAAAATGATTTCTCGTCTTTGCATTTTGACACATTTATTATTTACTTCATGCTGAGTGTGGTTCGAAAGTTTGCCTTGTGTTTTTTTCAACAACACACACCATTCCTTTTTGAACAACATGAGTGCGCAGAAAAAAAAAGTTTTCTTTTTTGGCTCTTCAAATTTCGAGTCAAACAATAAACAAAACAGAAAGAAAATTTTTTTGTGGTTTTTGGTGAATTTCCTTTTTTGAGCGAGGGACGATTTTGTTTGAATCTTTCGTCGGAAACAGATTATTGTTCCCTCAAATTTCGAACTTGTTTCCCCTTGAGAAAGGGGAAAACAAACAGCAAAATATAATTGAATATTTTGCGAAAAAAGAAGTAATGAAGAGAACCAATGCCGACTATTCTGTTGTTTGAGAGAATAAAGACCGAGAAATATAAATCACTTTGAAATTAAAACGCAATCGTGTTGTATATAAATATAAACAAAAAAAAATATCGCTTGCGTTTAAATAAATGCAAAAAAAAAAAAAACAATAAAAGATTTAACAAATACACGAAGACAAACGATAAATCGTTTTAAACTAGAAAATTTAAATTATGAAAACGTACGGTTTTCCCAGCTCTGTGTGTGTGTGTTTCTTTTTTCTTCACCAACCATTTCAATATTACAAAGGAATAAATGGAAAATAAACGAAGGCGCTGCGATTTCGCTAGAATTTCTCATCGGTTTGTGTGTATAGTGACAATACAAGTGGCACACAGAGTTGATTTCAATGCATAAACTAGCATCAGTACCTGGAAGTGTCAAGGAAATGCTAGAAAAGCCAACAGACATATGCACTGCCACGAGAAGGTGTTAATGAGCACTGTACACAATTGAGAAACTTTGATTGCCCGCTATTTTCTTCCTCGTTCATCAAACACGATTCACTCTCCTTTTTTTTCTCATTCAGTTGCGCACTTGGTAAGACTTAAACAACAAACCAAAAAAAAATTGATAATAATATAAAAAAAACTATTGGGGTTACTACACGTAATCAATAAAACTTAAAGCGTAATAAAACCATTACAGACAAAAAATAGCATAAAATGAATAAAGAAAACAAATGACAATATCATTTATACAAAGTAGATTTTACGATTGGGGATGTTGGAGCAGTTCATCGCGACTCGTGCGTCGATGGTTCACTACGAACATAGATGAAACGCTCTCGTGTTTTCATTGTTGTTGTTTTATCAATGTGCATGTGCGATATGACACAGATCATATGGGATTCACAACATTGTGAATGCAAGTGGGCGTCGAGGCGCTCATTGTTTCCTCCAATTGATTGAATGTTCAAGAAAAAGCTGTGTCTAGCATACGTTTTGCACGGTGTTGTATATATTTTTTTTTCTTTCTTTGCTTTCTAACTCTTGGTTTATTTACATTTTGAGTGTAGCATTCTGTTGAATTAGCAAACTGAATTTATATCCATCTAGATAGTAAGTATATTAATTAAATGTTGTTGTTGTTAAACTGTCGATCATTTTTCCTCATAGAGCAAAACAAAAAATAACATTCTGATTGTGTTTAACCTCATTGCCGAAATATTCTGGAATTTCATACTCATATTTTGCTGTTATGTTTCGTTAAAAAAATATATTACTGAAAATTATGCTTGTTTGTTGTTGTTGTTGTTGTTGTTGTTGTGTGTGTATACATATGCAGTAAATGTGGTAAATATTCTTAAACTTTCTAAAAAAAAAATTACATCAGTTAAGTATATCCACATAGAACTTAATATTTTGTGAATTTGTCCCTCAACTTGTGTATCATTCCAATCAAATTTAAGTATATTCTTATGGGGTGTGATTAATTATCAGGCGTTTTATTTTATTGATTTTTCATGACTACCTTAGATTTACTTCGTGATCATAGATGAATATGGTTTTGTTTTTGTTTTATTTCGTTTGTTTTGCATGTGTGTGTGTGTGTGTGTATGGAGTTTTGCCATGTGTCTTAATCGATTCTATTGCGTTGTATATTTTTAAAAAACCGGAGGTAAAAAAATGATGTTGGTTTTGATCAGTGTAAAATGTATTGTAAAAAAATGAAGATTATGCATCTATAACTATCATCATCTATGCTCAAACGGAGCAAACAGTACGGCGTGTGTGTTTAATTTTTACCAATTTGGTCTATTGTGTTTTTTTCTCATTGCATTTGTTTTGAATTTGTTTCTTGTCGTTGAACTATTTCGGTCATTTTTTTTCTTCTTCTTTCATTTCATTCATTAGAATTTATTTTGTTTTCCCTTTGACGGAAAATAACTATCGATATTTCATTTCGTAGTTTATTCAACAAGAATCTATGATCTACATAAAAAATAATAAAAACAAATTAAGATATAATAGGTAATTGTAATATATATTATGTGTGTGTATTTTGCCAATGCTTGTTTGTTTGCTTACTTTGGCTGCGTTGTCTCGAATCGCAAGCGTCGTCGAAAACAGAACATTGAATTCAATTCTCTTTGAATCGAGAACGCAGCGTAACAATGCTTATAGATTTGGTTTGCTATATGGCAAATCCAATCGTATTATATTCAAAATATGCTTAAATTGTGTTCGGTGTCTAAACCTACGTTGTTATTGTTTTTTTTTCCCTCTCATTAGATACATTTTCATAGGATTTTTTTTATTCAAAACTTGTTTTATAATAGAATATTCTTGTTTTATGTTCTAATCAAACACACACTCTCTCTCTGCTTAGCTACGTTTTTCCTTCACTAATAATTATCCATTATCATTTAAGAAAAAAAAAATGCTTTTCAATTCAAACTTCAATGTTATTCTTATAGCAAAAGCTCTTCTCTTTCAATAGGTTAAGAAAACAGTTTTGTTTTCCCATTTGCATAGTAGTTATTCATAGTAATATTCAAATGTTATAGGTTTATATCAAGTTTAATTATCTAGATGTTTTTAAATTGTTTTTCTTGCTCATTTTAATTACATTATTATATGCCTATTCAAATGCTCTTCATCATTATTACTCATCCTGATTTTGATGAAGGTTCTTGGCTTCATCCATTAAGCTGCAATTTGAAGAAAAAAAAAACTCCTAACAAAATATCGATATATATTTTTCAAATATAATAATTGTTTTTTTTTCTCAATGTTTTGTTTTATCCAAGTTGGCGTTATATCGCCGTGGTTAATTCATTTTTTTTTTGTTTGCTGTGTTCACACATCATTTGCAATATCGATATTATATTACTTGAATGTCATAATGTATTTAATGTGATATAATATTGTGTTTGATGCATAAATGTTTCAATGTATCATATAATTTTTTTGTTTGTTTAAAAGCATATAATGTTTTAATAGTTATTATTTTACTTTTCAAAAATCATCTTATCCTAAGTTCTATTTTCTTCTTCTTTTAAATATAATAAAAAGCGTACAAACATTGAATTTTGCGATCGTTGCTGTTTTAGTTTGTCGTTTGCGGTTGTTGGTTAATTTTTTCATTTCTTGCAAATGTTCTCGCATCCGTCACTTTGCGCGCACCGGGCGTGTTGTGTTTTGGTCGGTGATCGGCTTCGGGGCTGTTTTTCATTTGACAAATGATTGGTCTATTTCGGGAGACGACGACATCAACTGAATGTGCTCTGCACAATGGTTCGGTTGACTCAAAACATTATTTGAAATCTCGTCATTTTCACTCGTTCTCGCTGATGTTCACTCTATCTTTATTCACAAAATTCGTTTCGTGTCCCGACTGGCGGCAGCGTCGAGAGTGTGTTCAATTGGGGATAAGAAATTGTTTCGTTTTGTTTTTAAATGGTTCGGTAAAATTTCTTTTTTTTTTTTAAATCATCCAAAACTGGTTCTCTGTTGGATGATGATGATAATGGTCTGGTTTGATCTCCTTCTCTTCTCGCATGTTCAGTTAAAATGTAGAAAACTGAAATTTTTTTCATCTCTCTCGATATTTAGTTCGTTTTCAATACCGAAGCATCCCTTCAGTACATACCGCGAGCAGCTAGCTGTTCACGTAGGTATTTTAACCTCTGCTGCAGTCGATGTCTTCGTTTCAGCTGTTGCTCGTATTCACGATCTTCTTGCGTCAGTTTCGTGCACAAATTGGTGGCCTCACGCAAAATATTCACCTTTGGTGCACGCTCCTTTTCGCGCAACGATGGAATTTTATCTTTCAAATTTTCGAATAGATTTTTCAAACCAATACGACGCTGTCGTTCCATGTCATTGTGCAAATTTCGTTTTTCTATCGTTTCCAATTCTTCGCCTACTTCGACTACTGGACTGTGATTGCGACGTGCAGCGGTAGCACCAAGTGAGACACGGCCATTTGGTGGACTTGAAATTTTCTGTTGTTTGCTCACTTTTGAACGTTTTGCGCTTGGGCTTGGGCTTGGGCTTGAGGCAGCAGCTGCTTGACTAGCGCGTTTTCGTGCACCATTTGAGACGACTAACCGGATCGGTGAGCCAGCATTTGGCGATGCAATTTCCGGTGAACCTTTACTACCGTATGCTGAATCATCGGACGAACCATTTGAAATGCGTCTGCGTGCTATCGTATGAATGCCAGTCGTTGTTTTTACCATACGTGAGGTGATTTTATTTTGCAATGCACGACGATCACGAGCACTTGGATTTGTCGGTAGGTTCTTATCACCAACGGAGACAACGTCAATTTCTTCTTCTGCAAATAAAAATAAACGAAAACATTAAAAAAAAAAAACGAATTTAGAGACATCAAGTCGAGAGGCAACAGAAAAAAGCTATTCTAAAATAAATCGTCCTACATTTGATCGTAACTAATTCACATAATTTATTGGCTTGTGTTCTTATCCACGAGTGTAATGAACTCATTTCTGAATGGGATCATTCATATTTTAACCAGAGAGAGACAGAGAGAGAGAGGGCATGACTTGTGTGAAAATTTGTCATTTTGGGCTGCAGAACTGTGGCTGAGCTGACAGATTCCGAGTAAAAGTTGCTTTCAACGGTGTTAGAACATTTTTGAAAGGCGATGCTTTGATCCCGTATACATTTGCATGCTATGCTCCTATGCTTGTGTTTACTGTGTAAGAGGCGAGTTCTAATTTTCTTCTTTCTTTTCGAAAATAGCAACTGATTTCCGTTCTGTTCGTTCTCGAGTCACTTTTCTATATTTACACATTCCTGAATGTGCGTGTGTCTCGACTTCAGAAGAGAGTTTCTTGATCTCTTTTATTGCGTAAGATCGACCAATCACATTTTCCTTATTGTGTGTATTGTTACGTGCTCTTAAAATTGACATGAATCCGAGAGAGAGAGTTCTGTAAACTATCGTTCGGCCGTTCAGCCATATATCTCGAATGTGTGTGTGTGTGTGTGATTGTTTTTTCTTTGATTTTCGACAATGCGATATAATAATAAATGGAGCTGTTGGCATTCGTCCCTTTCACATGACAAGATAAACAGAGTAGTTTGTGTGTACGGATTATCTGATTATTACGCGCTTCAGAATATTTCAGCGTGTAATAAATAAAAATGATTACACAAATGAAGAAAAGTTGTCGACGCCAGTATTCGTTCTCCGATCAGATATTCCTGAGAAAAAACTACTTAAAAAAAATCGAAATACTTAGCGCGTTATCTTCATCAAAAACTTGATACGTGTGTCTATCGTTCTGTAAATACAAGTGTTTTGATTAGATTAAATCGAGAGAAATAAGTGAATAGTGAATAAGCGGCTCCAAATGGTTTAGCACTAAAATCAATTTTCCATTTGATTTCTCAGCATTCTTCATGCACACAGCGATAACAGCACATGGCGTTAAAGGCTCGACATTCTTCATTTAACGACGGAATTATACGGTCGACATCTAAATTTTCGTGTGAGTTCTTTGTAATGATGTTGCTAACTACTCAAACCATTACATTGTGGTTCGATGTTATCGGCGATCATTTTCGCATGCGAAGAATCGCATTTGAATATGGAATTCGATTTGCAAACTCGTCGCATAGCACTAACTCGTGTACGAGAGTGTGAACGAGCCGGCGAACGAGAATAATGAAATTCGATTAATTTGCCGATCCGTTTTTTTTCTCCTTTGGTCCGATGGCATTTTTTGTCTCGCTGATCATAAATTGCTCAAAGTGAAAGGTGCTCTCGGTGAACGCACGCTTGTATACATGCTTACAAGTGTATATGCCCCCCGAATACGTAAATCAAAAGAATTTAACCGTTTTTTTCTCTTTCTCACTCTATCTCTCTCTCTCTCTCTCTCTCTCTCGATCTATCCATCTGCGCTTGGTTCCGAGCATTTCGAAAAGAACGATCAAAGATATAGAAGGCGAATAAGAAAATCAAACTGTGCAGTTTACGTTTATCTCTTTCTGGTTTTCACATTTCATTTGAGCACTCGAAAGAAAAACCCGTTTTTGACGCAAAAATGAATCAAATGGAATGTGAATGCACGCATTTTTTCTAAAAAAAACGAAACATATTACAATAAAAAATTGTTTAATGTTATGCTTAAAGGGAAACCTCTTTTTTACTACATAATCACAATGCAATCACTAATTCATATTAATGCCTCGTTACAACCGTAATATCGGTATTAAAACGAAATTCGAAGTATCAACGGCGAATTTCGCATGCAACAGCTGACCATTTCATTTCAGGGTTTTAACCGGCAAAAATTAATACATCGTATTCACAATACAACAAAAAAGACGACAGGTATTTATGGGAAAAGCTCCATAAAAACGAAACAATCTGGTTAAATATAAAACAAATCTTGTTTCTGAGCAACAAAAACGTTTGTCTCCCGATTGCCGTCATTCTCGCACATTTCTACCGAATTGTTTCTTTCCGTTTCTTCTCTCGATTGTATGTTATATAGTTGGACGTTGGTCAAAATTCGGTATCGGTTCATTAACACTGGATCGACAAGAATTTCTCATGAATGATCCAACCGAAACCGGCGAAAGAAGAGGAGAAAAAAAAAAACGGTTGAACGCAAGATAAACAACAAATGGAAAACTGAATAACTTCGAAATAAAATAGTAAAACCGGTGATATTGAGCCGATTAGAATATGCTAAGTGCTGAGTAAATGCTCCCAATCCATTGTTTTGATGATTTGTTGCCACACACATCTCACTTGGGCTTGCATCGTTCTAATCGGGTAAATACAGACTCTATCTCGATCGTTGAATGCGGTACGGTTTTCACGGTTATGAATGCATACAAGCAAACGAAACGATTCATATTTCATTTTGTAAACATAAATAGTCGGTAAATATTTGAATGTTTTGGAAAATTTAGTGGACAAAACACGGTGAACGGATGGGATTGAGAATGTTCAAAAAGGAAATAGATATATACACGAGACAGCGATAATATTTTTGGAACATCCATTTTCCAATGGTTAATGTAATCACACAAAACGATGTAACCGTTCGATATTGTGCGTTATACAGGAATATCGTGCAACAGATTTGTATCAGTCTATCTCTCTCTCGCTCCCTCTCTTGTCATATAATTGCACTGAATGCGACCCAAACGTCTTTCATCGCCGTCAATCGAAGTTTCTGAAATTCAATTTCAATTGTTTGGCTTTGAATCGTGTGTGCACCTTGGCTCCATACACACACACACACACACACTACGATGGCGCGTTTCTTCCGTAACCATTTTGGCGTGGTATCATATCAGGTATTATTGATTTTCACATGAAAATGAGTTGGCACGTTGAATGGGTACCAGTTTCAACCTGATGCTGTTTATTATTTAGAAAACAGATGACCAACCAAACACAAGGGAATAGAGTACACACCCGAACGAAGAAAAAGATACACACTGTGAGCGCAAAGTGAAAGAAGAGTGAGAAGAATCGAGCCGATCGTTGTAAATTTCCATATAAACGTCCAAAATTCCAAATTGACTCGAACCAGTTTCAGTGTGTGTTTCTTTCTCTTTCGTCTCTATCTCTCTCCCTCCGTCTATTTCTAATGTTTTCGTATACTTTTCGTTTTGGTAAGTAGAATATGTAACGCTAGAGCATCTTTCTTCGAATCGTTAATTTTTATCTGTGATTCAGCCAGCTTTCGACCAATGGATTTTTTTTTTTTTTGGTAAATTTCGAGGCGCATTTCGAAAACCGAAAGCAGTCTACATTATTTGAAAATGCATCGAATTCATTCAATTTACTGAATGGTGTCTCCATTTCGAAAGCAATTCCAGGTCGATGCGATCGATTGAATTAGTAATAATGGCATTTTTCGTCTACCTAAAAAAAAGAAGCCCCTATTACCGAAAACAAATCATGTGTTTTTTCTCTCGTTTTCTACTCTTTGATTCGATTCAGTTCGACTGTGCACCCATTTCGAATCGCTTCGTGTGAACGATGTGAACTATCATTCGAGAAATTTGTTCGGTTGATCAAGTGAATGAATTCTTTATGGTCTTGTTTTTCTAACCAAATTTGAATTTGTTTTTATCTTTCCGTTCAACCTTTTACAGCAGGTTCGGTTTTTTTTTTTGTTAGCTATTTTCAATTCTAATTATTTTCGTATGTTTATCGATGTTTTCTGCTTAACGTCCATTCACCATCGAACCTGCATTAGTCCTATCTTCTTCGTTTCTTTTTTTTTTATTATTCTGAAAAAAAATTCTTTCTAGCGTTGTGTCACCAAGCCATTTCTGAAGGTTATTCACATTCGTCCATCTAACGCATGAGACTGCCAAATTTCAACAAATATGACGCGAATACTATTATATATTCTAGGTGCTTCTTAAAGCAAATATCTTGAGCAACAGTCAACACAGACGAAATTCCACGGCAATCCACAACAAAAGAGAAAATCAACAAAATAAAAACAGAAATAAATCTCATCGAGTATTACTTCGGTTAAAGAGAATGATGCATGCGTTCACAAATATATATATCACGGAAAAACACTTGTGTCCATAAGATGATTCGCTTCAGTCTTCTCTTTTGAAAACCATTTTTTCCCTCTTGTCTCAGATTTCATTTGCGCCGATCTTTTTTGTTTTGGTTACAAGTGAATTGTAAGTGTGTGGCGCGTGAGTCTAGCAAACAATCTGTCTTATTGAACGATAATTGCTAAATTTAATTGCTTGCCATGCAAAATTTTGGCTCATTTTCGTCCGGCTCGTGCACGTCAACATTTACACAACCGTTCAAATTGTTTAATATCCGAAATGGCCGGTTTCATAAGGCGTATTGTGTCGAATTGTTGCTATTTGTAAAATCACTTAAACAAATAGTGTCAACAGATTTCTTCTCGAATTTTTGTTGTGTGATTGCTAAATATTATTGTTATTATTTTTATGGTTGGTGGTGGTCTCACGGTAGACGGAGCTCAACATCGGAGCTGATGATGCATCCAATGAGCGCCAATTTAAAGCCGAAATTCATTAAAATGGATGTAAAAATTGATGATATGCACAACGATGTGCAATAAAATTCATCAATGGAAAGAAAACAGATTCTCAAGTCTCGGCATCGTATGATGGAGATATGTTAAAAACATATGCTATGGCCCATTAAATTTATGATCTATAATTGTCAATGGCAATTAAAATAGCTCCACATTTGGGTTAATAGCGAGTACGGGAAATGGCAAAGCACACAGACATTTGCTTCGCGAAAAAATTTGCTGTGTGTATGTAGTATGTTTATGACCC